CCTGCTGTAAAGGAGGAATCGCCTGGTGAAGGGGCAAACATCTCAAGAAATGACAGATATAGTAAGATATGTGTTATAAGAGAGGCCTGTGTGGAGCTCTGAGGGCAGAGAGAGAAAAGAATGACTAAACTCATCTTTAGCTGCCATCAGTTATCAGAGTTAGTTCTGAATTTCCTTCAGGATCCCCTGTGATTATGCCTTGCTGACAGCCTTGCATGTCTCTCTTGTAGGGGATGCCAGAGCAGTGGGCCCGCTTGCTTCAGACATCAAATATCACCAAGTCGGAGCAGAAGAAAAACCCGCAGGCTGTCCTGGATGTATTAGAATTTTATAACTCGAAGAAGACCTCCAATAGCCAGAAGTACATGAGCTTTACAGGTATGGGGATTGTGTCCAGGGCAGTCTAGGAAAAAAGGTTTTCATCTTAGTAGATGCCTATTGGTGTGGGGTGGAGGAAGAACGTTTTTCATAAGAGTGGAGATGGCACTTTCACTAAGATGGAATTTTGGAATTTGAGAGCCAAGATGATGGGTTTTTGCATCAAACTTGAGTCTTTACTCTGAAACTGCATGTTTTGAAAAAGTGCTGTGATATTACATGTTAAGAACATAGACTTTGTGCTAGAAGATCTAGATTCTGATACTTACTATGTTCTGGTAGTCAGTTCATTTCTTTGAGCTTCAAAATGAGAATAATAATTCCTATCTCAAGAGGTTGTAATGAGGATAAATGAGCTCATTGATACGAAAGTTCTTTATAGGTTGCAAAATGGCACCATGAAAATGTAGCCATCATTATCATCGTTTTCAATATCAGTAGGTTATGTGATAACCCAGTTAAGTAGGCAAGCCCAATTTCTTCCTCAAGGAACTGATTTTTATCAGTCCAATGAAAAACTGGCCAGTAATAATAAATGTTCTTTAGATGTACTCTCTCTATATGTATAAGGGACTGTGTTTTTCAGAATGTTTTTAATTGTAGAATTGGGATTGGAATCCAGGTCTCCTAATTCCTAGACCAGTACCTTTTCAGTTTACCACTTGCTTCTAGTAACTCTATTTGGAGCACCTCCTTCCATAGCAGAGAGATTTTTCTTTTCTTAGGCAAGTCATAGGAAGGCCTACATTTCTTGAAACTTGCCTTTTATATAGCATCTTAGAATGTTAGGGCAAGAAGTATCTTTAGTATATACCACTTCCAGTTTCCCCTTGTTTTGCAAACATTAGAGCCCCAAATGCCTTTCTAATGTGGCTAAATTAGCGATCTCTTAACCCACTGGTCTTAACTCCGAGTCCAGTGTTTTTTCTGGTGTTCATGCTGTCTCTTTCAAAGGGCAGTATTGTTGGGGAAGGTGAGAACGGGGATGAACTAGCTAATTTTGAAGGATGCCTTCCCCAGCAAGTATCTGGCTTGTAGCAAAGGGCACAGATGGTGAGGATGACAGACTGCAGCTTTGCTCATGCTGCATAGTGGTGCCCTGGAGAGGGTCATACATGTTCCTAGCATGTTTCCTTCCTGATATATGGCCCCGCTGGGTCTGTATCACTTCTTCCATTTGAGGGACTGGGTCATTCCAAGGCAGTATTGGGGTTGAGGGGTGATGGGTAGGAAAGTTTTCTAGATTACGGCTTGTGTTTTCAAGAGTTTGTCATGGAGACTTCAGATTAGAAGCTGGCTTTGAAAGCCTCAGCAGCAAAGTCTTTCGAAGAATCTGTTTTTATGTGTATGTGTGTAGATGTGAAAAATACTATTTATGTATATGGAAGCATAGCTATGTGGATTTGCATATGTTTGGAATTAAAGTCCACTTAAGTATTTATGAGTGAATATGGGTATAGATATACACATTCAGGTAATTGTGTATATGTTCCTCCATGCATGCATAAATGAATAACATTGAGTGTATATGTATAGAATGTGTAGATATGTCTCCATACAGCTACTTCTGTGTGTATAAATTTGTGCAAATATGTGTGTGTGTGTGCACATGCACACACACGTGAGGGATTTTTTGTCTTCTGTAAGTTGAAGACCAAGGCAACTCCAAGCAAAACTGTATATGTGGCACTTTAAAAAAAAATTTTTTTTTAATTGAAGTATAGTTGATTTACAATGTTGTGTTAATTACTGCTGTACAGCAAAGTGATTCGGTTATACATACATTCTTTTTTTTTTTTTTTTTTTTTTTTTTTTTTTTTTTTTTTTTTTTTGGGTCGCGGGGCCCCTCCCCGTTGTGGCCTCTCCCGTTGCGGAGCGCAGGCTCCGGACGCGCAGGCTCGGCGGCCGTGG